GTAGCAGCTGACTCCTCTCCAACACCAAAATATCATGCTCCTTGGAACCTACTGTTACGAATACTGCAGTGTTTATAGAAATGCATAAGTCTGAGAATGGGATATGCAAGTATTACTGGAACTGCAAACAAAGGGCCTTACTGGACCTCTCAGATGCCAACTACTGCTGAATGGTAAGTGTAGACAAGGGATGTCTTTTTGCAAAGCTCTCCTGGGAAGAGCATGCTCAGTGAGGATGTGGCTGTGGAACCCCAGAAATCCATGGTTTCTGACCATGAGAAAACATAAGCAAGTAGAAATATTGCAGTGACTACAGTGGGACACAGGGAGGAAAGAAGAGACCTGTGATAGATAAAGAAACCTATACTGAAGTTTAGGTTGATAGACATGGTTATATTTTGATGTCAAAAAAGGAACAACTCAGATATCACTGTGTGATTTCCAAATGTCACAGTGGACTTTGTTGTCTTTGAAAAGTTCAGAGGAAAGCCTGCTTCCCAAATGTTCAGTCTTACCTTAGAAATCATCTGAAACCATATAGGAATGCTTTACCTTGCACAGTGTTAAAATGTTTGCATCGCTGGTGTCACAGACAGGTTTTGAGACGCATGTCCATGTATCAGTGAGTGAAGGAGCACACAACTCTTTGAAAGAAAAATTCAAGAACATGACTATAGTTTATAAGATATTTCTTTGGTCAGTTTCAGCAGTTTAAATTAATTGTGATTTAAAGATTTAGGTGTTGATTTTGAAAGTATAAAATAACCTATTTGAGAGGCCAAAGCAAATATATATATCCTTGTGAATGACAGTTGTTTCTGTAAAGAGGGATAAATATGTGTGTGAGCTGTTTGTACAATAGTTAAATAAGTGTCTAGGTGCACAAACTGAATAACGATGTTTTCATATGTGACTGTCTTCTAAAAAATTGATTCTAAGCAGTCATTTTAAGACTTCAAATTTAATATCTTGTTAAGAGAAATGAGGTGGAGGGACAATTTCTGCCGTTGCTGTGGTTTCACACACAAAATAAATTGGCATAGCGATTTACACAGAGAACAAAAAAAAATAGTTTAGAAATTTATTTTGAATTGAAGTTTAGGTTTTGAAGAACACAGAGACATCTGAAAGGTGAAATTCACAGATTTTTCATGCTTGCAGGTTTTTATAGCCTCTGGTAATGCATGTCCTTACTCTGACATCACATGTGTGTGAAAAAATGGATGTAATATTTAAAGATGTCTTTTGACAAAGAAAGTATTTCCATCTCCAGAGGTGAGATTTAGCTTTAAAGGATGATGAGCAGGTTCCAGATGTGTTTTTCAATCCCTGGGCTTTCCTTTCCTTAAGTGTTGACAGAGGGAAGGTTTTATCAAGGTCTTTCTGATGTGCTTGTTTATAATGAGTAGACATTAGTAGAGCACATCTAAGTGCATATCACTAACAGATGACTAAAGAGAGCATATGGCAGGGAAAAGAAATATATATTTGTCCAACCAGTGTGGCTTGTTAACACTCCCACACTCATAAACTGTGTTTACATGTACTTACAATATTTTGCAAATTCGTTTTCTAATCAGCTAAAAATAAAAGCCAAATAATTTTTTTCTCAATATTGAAGTGTCAGCCAAAGTTGATTTAGACTTTTTTAACAAAGCAATTAAAGAGTACAGAAGATTTTTGCAGTATTTGTTTTGCTTCAGCATGACATCTTTGCAGTAGTATAGGTATTATTTTCATTTCACAGTGTTAAAAGTTTTATTTTTTCAGAATGCTTTTCTGTTTGCCCACCCGTCTATCCAAGAATAATTATTATACAGCCAGGTTACACTACAAGCAATAACACAGATCAGAATGACCTATGCCGAATCCTAGTCTAGATCAGTTCACAAGGTTTATTTTGACCATAAGATTTCTCTCTGTTTCTATAGGATGAATCATAGAATCATAGTTACAACACCTGCTAATAAAGTTTGGAAGCAAAAAAGTCTCTGAACTGTTAACCCAGTCCAGCTCCCATTACAGTAAAAAAAAAAAAGGAGTCTTGCTATTAATTCCATTTAGGAGGTAGATGAAGAAATGCTGAGGAAATCTGTACAGTTCTTTGTATACAAAATTTTGGTAATGCTGTGTTCAAGAGTATAGCATTCACCCACCTTTTTATAATGAACAGAACACAGTATCAGTGTCTTCTCTTGCTGTGACATCTAAATGTGCAAGTCTATTCATATAGTATTATTAGAAAGAAGACAGTTATAGTTTAAAGGTGGATTTGGACAGTTGCATGCATTTATAAAGAAAACTCTACAGAAGAACTGCACCTACTTTTGATTTTCAGTATATTCCTAGCAAAGTTTTATTAAAAATTTGCATCTGGATCCAAGTATTGTCCTTCATAAAACAGTTTATTCTTGCAATTTAGCTTCATTAAAGTCATAATACTGCTTTAGGATATGATAGACTAGTGCTGTGGGATTGAATTATAGAGAGATTAATTTTAGCTACCAGAGATAATTGACCCAATAATTCCTGTCACCCCTAATCCCAGTTCAAATAAACCAATGTTAAAAGTGGCAATACTCACAATATAGACAAGGCCATGACAGCTAGAATTGTTTTTTTACTATCAATTAGATTTCCCACTTGGTGTGTTTGACTAATGTTGCTGTGGAAAGGGATTTCAGGCATGGAAATACAGATTCTTTAGAGGCACACAGGCACTGGAACTGATGGGCAGTTTGCTGTGTGTTTCCCAGTGTATAGAATCAGAATGCAATTGAGTGTTGACCCCTAAAAAATGAATTCACATGGGGGTTTAGAACATGTTTTGATCCATGGTAGCGCTAGGAAGAAGCCAAATAATTTTAATCTGGAAGCAAATTCTCTTGAAATTCAACGATGTTAATATGTGGTGGGTCTAGCAGGTTTGGAACTGTCTCTTGAGGCAATACTACATCTGAGGTGTATTTCAGATGAAAAATCAGAAAATAAGTGAGGTACTGCCTGAATAGAGAGTTGTTCGAAAACAAATCATGTTGATATTTAGCTGCAAATGACATGAAGGTTTAAAAAAATACAAAGAAGAGATAAATATGATATATCTTTAAAATTCCCTCAAGTGATAATGCCAACTTCAAACATATTAGCATAAGGACTCTTATGAAAAAAACAACAGAACAACAATACTTTTGCATAGCATGTTCAGTATAAGATAATTTTCACATTATTACTAGTTATCCATCAGCATTTTTCCAGGTATTTACAGATTTCAGTTTGCAGTAAGCTGAAACTGCATGATAAAAAGAGACAGATAATGATAAAAAGCAGATGTACATGCAAGCCTAGCTAGAAGGAGAAAAATATACTATCAATGCCCCTCCTGTGAAGTTAATCCTATTTCTTTTAGCTATTTCTTCATTAGTTAATGAGGTCTTAAGAAAAAAAAATTAAAGTGAGTTTGAAATGGTGTTTTTGCATCCTTGCCTTTAGGAACTTTTTCAAATATTCATAGAATAGTTTGCCCTTGGAATGTGCATTAAGTGTGAGTTTAGGCAATAATTACTTCAAACGTGGGTGGTCAGAAACCTGCAACTGAAATGGACAAACACAGCAGCTAATCACTTTTCACATTCAGATTCACCACTCTGGCTAGGGCTGAAACATAAAATAGTGGTGAAAGGAGATATTTTAATGATTAGGTTAAAAAAAAAGAAATGAACTTCAAGGCTTAGATCACAGATCTCCTAGCATGAATTAGATTTGAATGTGGATGTGATTTGTGTCTTATTAATGAAAAATTTTCTTCTCTCTCACTTCCTATTATCAATCTGAGATCAGAAACAAAGAGTTCGTCTCTTATCTTTGTGAGATGAGTATCAGTGCGCTTATAACTGCAGCCCATCCATCTCACCTCCTCCAGTGCCCCTGGCATCAACCAACATCTCTGTTGGCCTCTGGTTAGTGGGCCTGGGATAACAGTGAAAGGGGCCCCCATCTCCTGGAAGCCATCTCTTAATGTTGATGTTGTAAGACATTCTGAGGGTAAAAACCTGGGAAAGCCTGCAACTGCCAGTTTTAATGGGTCTCTTATCCACAAGTACAGAAAGCGCAGTTTTCATTTTCATTTCAATATGTTGTATTTATATTCTTTTATTGAAAGAAACAACCCCTTTATTTATCCACAGAACTCGTGAAGTGAAACTGGGAGTGATAGATTATTTTTTTCCCAGAGATTCAGTTTACTCCATTTCAGGCAGCAGATTTTGAATGGGGTTGCAATTTTTATGGGTGCAATTGGATCTCCCGGGCATCTTCTGGCATTATCATGTGAACAGGAAAAGAAGCTACCACCCCCAGAGCTCTCCATACATACACAGTGCACTAGGCAAGGGCATTATATGTCCATCATCTCTTTAAAAGCTTTGCAGACCATCCTGAAGCTGAGTTCATTGATCAGTTGTAGGCTGTTGCTTCTCAAGTTCCCAACCACAAAGAGCAAATTCAAAGCAGTGAACAGTGTCTCCATGGTATAGGTGGCTAGCAATTCAATGACATTCATTCTGGAAAAGTTTCAAAACTGCTGATTTTTCTGTCTCATATTCAGTTTCCAAATGTTATAAAATGATTATTTTATTAATTTCCAACTTCATTATTTCAGTTTATCCCACTCTCTTTTGTTGAATTTCTACTTTGTTGTTGTTGTCTTCTTTCTTTCTGTAACAACCACCACAGCAAAAATCAATACCACAGAATTTCCTAGGTCTTTATTTGATGAATGTGAAGCATTTGTCTGTGATGTTCTTCTTTTTGCCATGGGGAAATATAGGGCATGTTGACAGCCAATATTAATAAGCTTAACACTAATACTGGCAGTTACTTAGTACAATTTTAGGCTATGTTAAGTGATCTGTAGGGAATGGTAATGTTATCCTTTAAAAGAAACAGATGTCACAGTTGCATTCAGAATTCACTGGGTATTTTTTATTGTTTCTATTTTCCAGGTGATTCATATAACGGGCCGGTTGCGTCTGAGAGTGTCACTGTCACATGGACGGACAGTACCCAGCCAAATCATGGGACTTGTTGTCGTTGCTCATGCTTTGCCACCTCCTACAATTAATGAAGTCAGGATTGACTGCCACATGTTTGTCACTCGTGTGAATATGGACCTCAATATCATTTACTGTGAAAATAGGTACAACTTTTAGCTCCTTTTTCCTTTGTTTTAGCTGTGTGTATTCTTTGATCCATAGGCTTGGCAAAACATTTTGAAATTGCTGATTCCTGCACTATCATCCTAGCACTGTATGATAGCATCAAATTAACTCTAATCATCACCATTTTCATTTCCATTACATTCTTAGAGGATAAAGGTAAATTAAAAACTATAATTTTCAGGATGTCTTGCTAGAATAGGGGGAGATAGACCAGGAAAGATTCCTCTCAGCTTTCCCTGCTTTTTGAAATCTTTCACCATCCCTCTCAGAGGCAAGATTTGGGACTAGACAGACGCTGGTCTGACCTGTATGGCTGTCCTTATGCTCCCCCATCCTCCCCTCCACAAGTCTTTCTGTCTGAAGTTTTAAAGTTTTCCATTTTTGAACTAATTTGCAGATTACAGCACATCATGCTCAGTGTTTAATGGAACAGAAGCACAGATGGCCTAGATAGTAGGCTAGAGAGGTGGGATCTGTTGCAGTTAGAGGTGGGAAAACTAGAATAAAATTGGTTAAGGGCATACTGGGAAAGACAGCAGTTAAATGGGAACAGGTGATGAAGAGTTGGTTGAGGGGGGGCTACATTCCATGTGATAGCAATCTTGGAAGATGAAAGATAGTATTTAAATTCAGCTGTCTGCTTCCTGTGGTTGGGTGCCTGTAGCATCAGGGGCTTCCCATGGCAGTCTGTCAGGGCAGGACCTAGCAGCAAAGAGCCGTCCCACCACTCCAGAGAGGAGCAGGGCAGCTGGGGGACACAGGGGCAACCCTAGGCCCAGGAATTGGACATTTCCATGGGGACAGGCAGTGATGTGGGCTGGATTCAGGTTGGTAGGGTCCATGGACAGGCAGGGCTGTGGAGAGCTGGAGACTGGCAGGGACTGACAATTTCAGGGGGCTGACATGGGGTCCTGGGCAATAGGTGGGATGGGGGAAGCCCCAAGGGCCTGAAATAGGGTTCTGGGCTTCAGGCATGGTGTATGAAGGCCCAGTGGGACTTGGTGGAGTGTTGGGCTGATCAAGACCAATAAGGCCTCAGGGCTCTGAGAAATAAAAATTAAATCCAGGGAATGGGCATTTAGAGCAGAGTAAAGGTATCTGAGAAGGAAGATACACGCAACAAAGTTTGGGTCCATTGATGAAGTCCGAGGTATGGAGAAAAGGTTGAAAAGGAAGGAATGTAATTCAGCCAAAAGAAATTTAGTCAAAGGGACTTAGCATCAAAAACTGGAACAAATAAGATGATTGCTGCAAGATTTTCTTGTGACGGCAACTATGGCATCTGGTCAGTTGAGTGGAAGCTCTCATATGAGCAATTGTAATTGTTCAGTCATAATGGAGTACCTATGATCAGGATAGCACATCCATATAAACTTTTATTTTAAAAGGATAAACTCAAATCTTTTCTTGAATTGGGATCTTAAACAATTTAAAATAATCTTGGATTTCAGTTATGAGGCTATCTTCGCTGTCATGTTGCTGAACTGCTACAATACTTTTTTAGATAATATTACTTGACTATTAGAACAGTTCATCTAAACTTCTAAAGCATTATCTAAAAGTGACTATATTATTCACATTTTTAAGCTTGAAAAAATTGCCCCATGGAAAATGACTTGCACAAGGTCACAGAGAAAGTGGATAACAGTATTAAAGTTTGGTCTGACTTTTTGCCTGTGACTCTATCCAGTGAGTATCCAGAGTCTATATAATTTGGCAACTGGCCAAAGAGATCTGGGGATTAGCAGCAGGATCTAGAAGAAAACTTTTGCTATAGTCTTTGATTTCACTGTGGCCTACCTAGGTAGTAATGGAAAGCTGCTACTACTGCAGAGCTCTTCAAAGGACTCTATGAAATGAGTTGCTGGTATCTATCCAGTTCCTAATGAACAGATTTCCTTTTAACAAAATCACCTGCACTTACCTTATCTTCATTTACTCTTACCTTCATTGGCAACGTCCATAAGAAAGCCAGGAATCAAACGGACATGAAAAAATGAACTATTCCATCAGGTCAAATATGATGTGAATTTGTAGGCCAAGTTAGAAAGATTTATGCTTTCTCTGCTGTCAGTTTGGCATTCTTAGGAGCCCTAAATTGTATGTGGGGTTTTTTTATTTAAACATTTTTATCAAACCTTCTCTTTATGTTCATCTTGCAATACAATTTTCAAATGCCTGAAAAAGGCACCACTGAAAATGGTAAAATGCATTAGATGTGATAATGGCATAGAAAGGGTTGATACCATGTGATAAACTCTGGTTAGCCAGCAAGAAAGTGTGGAGTTTATTAATATTTTCATTTATTAAAGTAAAGGCAGCATTATAAAGCAACTTTTCCTTGTTTGTGATGGATTTTATCTCATATGCTAACGTAGAATGCTTATGATGGTACTTGAATTTATGTTGCAATTGTTCTGTCTTAAGCCCCTGTGCCAGTGTTAAAAATAGTTTGTAAAAGTAATTTCAAATAGTAGAAACACTTCTGTCCGTGCTGGGATGTGAATGTGAGCTCACTGAGGCAGCAGGATTTCCAGTCATAGAAAATGGTATAAACCTGACAGGACTTGGATTTCATACAAGGTACAAAGCAGAATATGACTGTAAAAACTGGAGGAATGGAAAGGACAAAGGATGTGAAGGAATTAACTGAACAGCTGATTGAAGCTGTCAGATTGATTATCTGGGCATTTGCCAAGGCCATTCTCTGAGTCAGAGAAGTTGGGAGCTCTCTTCTGGGACTATAGAAAAGGAGATAAGTATCCCATCTGGAATATATGGGCTTGACTCCTGGCACTTGCAGGCAGCCAGGAAATTCTTTGTGGTGCCACAGTAAAGCAAGCACAACATTGATGAAAACAAAGAAAAATGGATCCATGCTGGGCAAGCCGTAAGCACTATTTATGGAGCAATGGGGAGTTGCTGGCAGCTGCAGGGAGTATGGAGCAGAAGCCATGCCACTTAACTGAAATGAATGCTCGCAGTGGACCATTGGATCAGCAGGGGTGAGATCAATAGTACTCCTAGTTTTCTAAGTGGTTGCCTGCTTGCAACAGCAGTGAGCAGGAGTGGCATTACTCAAGTCTTTGGGTGCATCTTGTTACTTTCCTCTGAATGAAGAGATCTGCTTCAGAATCCTGGACTCAGTGCACAAACTAGTCACCAGTTAGCTTCCCTTTGAGACAAGATCTGTTAGTTAGTACACTGGTTTATTTCTAACAACTAATACTTTGCTTTGAGAATATAAAATGGGGATGTAAAATTTTGTTGCCTAAAATGTGGGATGTTAATCTATGTCTGTTTTGCAAATGTAGGATTCATATCATCTAGGCTTCACCATCTAGTCTAAAATAGTCTAGGATTTCTTTATTATTCAGTGGAGTGCAAAAAACACCTGCAGAGGACAAATCATCTCAGACAGTGACAAATAACTAAAAGCAAAATAAAGAGACTGCTGCTAGAGAAAATAAAGAGACTGCTGCTAGTGTACAGCATCAGTCTGTGTATTTTCAGTGTCAGCTGTTAAGGATTGGAGACCACCTTGAGAGAGCCCAATTTAATGTGGACTTCTATAGCTATATCTGCAAATATGTGCCTGAAAGGAAATAACCCAGTGAATATGGTAATTTGCATGTGGAAGAGGTTTGGCCTATTGGCCATGGCAGTGGTTGCCAAGAGTTCCCTCAGATATGCAAAAATAGTCTTGTGTAGAAAGCCTCAAGCCCACAAATGTGTGCATGGTTTGTTCCTTATTCAGTAAAGTACTGTACCTTGTATCTGCCTTTAAATTTCAGCCATGTTAACAGTCCTGTCAGTAGAACCACTGATCTGCTCAAACATAAGCCTATGTTTATGTTTTGCAGGATGAGGTCTTTGTATTCAGTAGAACCAAGTTCCTACTCATCAACCTGTTACTTTATTTTGTTAAAGGCTTTGAGTGCCATAAGATCTTTCTCCTAACAAGTTCTCTAAGATATACTATATATACTTCATTTTCTCCATGCAAGTTATTTCTTTTCCATCTTTAGTACCTTTGATATAAGCATGAGTCTCCTAGCTGATGTAATTTCTTTTGCTTCTCATTTTGGTGCTATTGCTTACCAGTGAACATCACTTACACCTGGGTATTCTTTCTCTTTCTTCTTCCACATTTGTCATTAAAAAATCCTATGTCCTTCATGTGTCTGTTTGAAACAGTTTTCCATAATATTATAGAATCATAGGATCATTTAGGTTGGAAAAGGCCTTTAAAATCATCAAGTCCAGCTGTAAATAAGCAGTTCCAAGCCCACCACTAAGCCATGTCCCTAAGTGCCACATCTACCTGTCTTTTTAGCCCTCCAGGGCTGGTAACTCAACCACTTCCTGGGACAGACCATTCTAGCTCTTGATAACACTTTTGGTGGAAATATTTTTCCTAGTATCTACTCTAAACCTCCCCTGGCACAATCTCAAGGGACTTTGAATCTTCTTCCTCAGTTGCCTTGCTGTGTTCATTTTTATCTGTGAGGACTTTACACAAACATGCTGCTGCAGAGAAACAAAATACAGCTGAGTCAGATTTACCAGAGCAAGAAGCGGAATGATCATCTTCAGTGTTAGCCCTATGAGCTGTAGCACTCACTGCCTGGGTACACTACAGAGCAGTGGCCTGTCTGGAGTTTGCCCCTTTCTACTGCAGTGTCAGGGTGGGATTTTCTCTCCCTCATGTTGAAGCAGAGTCATCTTCCAATATAAAACCCACAGTTCTTGGGCCAGAGAAGAGACTGCAAAGTGTGCCAATGAGGTGAGTGTAGACATGGAAAAAGAGACTTCAGTTCTGGTTCCTCCTCCATGGACTGTTTTATACACTTAGTTGTAGTTTTTAAATCTCAGGCTCCCTTCCTTCTGTTGGGATTTCTTATCACTGGGAAGAGATCCCAGGTCCTTTGCTTCCCTGCAAATAATTCACTGTGCAACCAAAGTGGAGGAACTCAGCAGGAGGGATAGGGAGTCCCACTGCCACAGTTCAATATGTGTCTTTATCCTGGTGTATTGTGCCCTCTCTGAGAAGGCAGGAGAGGTGCTCTTTTCAGCTGTGGTTTGTGATAAATGTTAGACATATACCCACAGGTGGGTACCCCCACATTGGGTTAAGTGCTCTAACTACTAGGCAGTTGTTTGCATGTGCACATCCTTCAATGTGTTCTGTCATGAAAGTGGGAGAAGGGCGTTGTGTTTCATGCTAAACTTGACAATTTTTACTACCAAATTTGACTCCACCTGCATGATCTGTGAAGTTTTTCATGTTTATTGTTTTGGATTGGTTCTTCTACTGGGGACAGGACACCAGTGCAGCTGTGGTGCTGTCTATTGCATCCATTCTCCTTCAGTCTTTCTGGTCTACGCATTCTCCCAGCTTCAAACACCCAGGCAAACAGCTCTGCTAGTCAGTGCCTCAGAGGCTGCATTTGCCCCACTGCCTTCTGTAAACCCCTCAGACCCACACAGTTTGGTTTCTGGTTTAGCCTCCCCACTGGACTCCCTCAGGATCACACTCCAGTTGTTTCAGCTATCTGATTATATCAAGATGTTCAGTGTTTCTTACAGCTATCTTAAATGGATGACAACTATATCTCAAAATTGCAAAGTGGGCTTAACCCCAATCACTGCAGATTATTTCAAACCCTAAAAAAATTAAACTCTGTTTAGAAAACAGATATACTTTTAAATGCTTGTTTGAGCAAGACATTTTCCAATTCTTCTTACATTTATGTATTGCATTTAAGGACATTGACACCTTGACACTCCATGATACAAGTTTACACATGCACATAGACACAAGCACACAGAACACACACACACAGACACCCATGCACAAAGGTCTGCAGAATAGATTTAAAAGTTTCCATGTGCAATAAACAACAAAGTCCCAGTTGAAAGGGCCCGGAGTGAAAGCTGAGCTCCCAAATGAATTAGACTAAAAAAGATAACACCCTGAGGCATCTGTGTGTCTCAGAATTTAAATTATATCCCTTGAAATATCAGTTTGGACTTGGTGCCAAGAAATTGTTGAAGAGCTTTTTCATGAATATACCCAATAGAAGACCAATCTGTTGAAATGAAATGTGTCTCTAATCATTTGGTATAAACATAACATGTTTCTACTTTATTATGTAACCTTGAATCATCTTGGTCTTTTAATGAGGATTTTGGATTGTTGCTAATGCTTTACAATTTCATGGAATTATATTGTCTTGGTGTTATGCTACTGGGAGAACATGTGCTAGAATTAAATTTTCCACGGATTTAAATGGACATAATTTCCAGTTTTCTTTTTAAAAATTCTTTAAGGCCTTGTCTCATTTGTACAAATATTCCATTCAAATGACTATAGTGGTTAAAAAGCTTTTTAGCAGATTTCACTCAGTCATTTGTTAATTCTTTTATTCTTTTTCTTCTTGAATTATAAACTGTATGTTTGGTTTTTTTCCTTTTTAGAATTAGCGATTACATGGATCTGACCCCTGTAGATATTGTAGGAAAGAGATGTTACCACTTCATTCATGCTGAAGATGTGGAAGGCATCAGGCATAGTCACTTAGACTGTAAGTACTTCCATTTTTGTCAAAATAATCTGGCACAACACTTGATTGTTCCTGAACTATCATTTATATTTCACAATTGGTGTCTTCATCTTGCACCTGCTTTTTTTTGTTGGGGGTTTTTGTAGAGATGGCTGAAATACTACTTTTTGTATTATTTATTTTCAAGTCTTTTTGTAGTCATATAAGATCATTCACATGTGTGGAAATAAAGCATAGTTGTATTACCAGGGTTTCTAGCATTTGTTCATTCATGCACTGTGCATTATTTTAAATCCTTCAAGGAGCTATTGCTTAGATGAGAAACACCCTTCCTGACACAGAATATGAACTCCTCTTCTCTTCATGGGTTTTTTGTGTTTTTTTAATGAGTCATAACATATAGGAAAAAACTGCAGCATAATTGGGATTTCAGCAGGTTTTTCAATGCAGAACTGAGCTACAGCTCTACCAGTGCTTTAATGACCCCATGTTTGAACATCTAAATGGCCTCCATCCTTATAGGATCTAAGTCTCTGTTACTTGCACACAGGTAGTATCTGATTAGGATAAGGATAATAGAAATATAAAAATGTCACAAGAGACGAGCCTTACCAGAGAACATGTGCAATGTCTGTCTATGGGGGAAGGGAGGTTCAGCTTGATTCCTTGTAATTAAACTCTTTGTATTCCTCTTATTAAAAGCCATAGGGCCTAATTCTTTTCTTGTTGAGATCTGTTGACTTCAGTGATGGTGTTCCCGATTTACCCTGGTGCAAAAAAAGACTTAGGCCCATAATCTCTAATTTATCTGTGCCTGCAGTGAAGCCAGATAATTCTTTGGAAGTTTCAGTGACTGACTGCATTTATGATTGACTTGAGTGTTTTTCTTAATGTAGAAGACTATCTGCAAACTGGTTCTTAAATTCAGAATCACAGATTTGAATAACTCCACTCCCTCTGCACCATGTCCTACTAGCATTTCCTAATAAAAGGGCTGGAGCCCAAATGCAGGCACATTTAAATAGATTTTACAAAAAAAATGGCTACAATAGGAGCCAGTATAAAATGTTCAGTCCCAAAGCATCTTGCTTGATCTGCAAGAGAAAATAGGAGGATAACTGAAACCTGAAAGCACGAGATCACGGAAAGCTTTTATTACATATAGCAGCCAACAACAGTGTCAAGTTCTGTAAAGCTTTTGAGTAGTCCATGAAGTTTCTAGAATTTAAAGTGCATTATGCATAAGAATCAACTATCCAAAATGATAAACAAAGTAATTTTGCTACATTTATATTTTTGAGCATTTAGTATTCAGGAGGATATGTCAGTTGCTCAGAAATGAAGGAACAAATTCAGAAACTTACTTTGTGCTCTTGAAACTGGAAGTCAAAAATGACAAGTTGCACTTCCACTGCACTATCTGACCAAGGAAATAAAAGATATTTATGACTCAAACTTAATATACCACCTGGCATAGATGAACACCCCATTTGAAAAAGACCTTAATCTTCTGAATGACCACTTCTCTCTGAAATAGAATATGCTTTATGAAACATTCATCTTCAGAAAAATTAGAGATCTTTGCAGACAGTCTGAATTCAGTGTGGACCAGTGTATAAGCACTGGACTAGAACTCAGGAGATCCTGGACACAGGAAGGGCTTCTAGAAAATCATCTTACTGTGTTTCTGCTCTCACTATATGTCCAGTTTAGCTGATTGGATTGCAAACTTTATAAATACATGGACTTTATCCCATTATCAACATCCAGCACAGCGAGGTTCCAAACGTGGCATCTTGGCCTGTATCAAGAATAGTGTGGCCAGCCGGACTAGGAAAGTGATCACACCCCTGTACTCAGCATTAGTGAGGCCACACCTTGAGTACTGTGTTCAGTTTTGCTCACTTGAAAAAGGACATTGAGGCACTGGAGCAAGTCCAGCAAAGAGCAGTGAGGCTCATAAAAGGTCCAGAACATACATTTTATGAGGAACAGCTGAGGGAGCTGGGTTTGCTTAATCTTCGGAAGAGGCGTCTCAGGGGTGACCTTATTGCAGTCTGTAACTACCTGAAAGGGGATTGTAGAGAGGTGGGGATGTCTCTTCTGCCATACCTGCCGTGAGAGGACTAGAGGGAATGGCTGCAAGCTGAGACAGGGGAGATTCAGTTTAGATATTAGAAAAGTAAATTTCACTGTTAGGGTGGTCAGGCATTGGAATAAGTTTCCCAGGGAAGTGATGGAGTCACCATCCCTATAAATGTTTAAAAGTCATCTGGATCTGGCACTGGAAGATAGGGTTTAGGGGTTACAGCAGTGACAGATTAATAGTTGGACTTCATGATCTGAAAGGTCTATTCCAACCTTGATGCTTCTATGATTTTTGCTAGGCTAATTTTTTTTTCAATAGATGAAGATGCTTGCATCTTTTATGTATAGTTGTTCTCTTGGCTTATAGGAACAAAATGTTCATGGAATCATTTAGGCTGGAAGGAGATCTGGGGTATCATCTAGTCCCACCTAATGCTCAAAACAGGATCAACACTGATTCAAAGCAAATTTTTTAGCACTTTGTCTAGTTGATGTTGAAAAACTCAAGGTCAAACTTCACACAACTTCTCTGAGTGACCTGTTCCATTTATCTTAAGAAGGGGTTTTTATCCTCACAGTGGTTTGGGGTTTTTTCCTTCTATCCAGTTGGAATTTCCCTGTTTTGATTGTGCAGCTCATGGCTCCATCTTTGCAGTAGCCTCCTTGCAGGTATGCTGCTAGGTCCCCCAAGTCAACTCTGCTTCAGGCTGAACAAGCCTGATCCCACAGCCTTTCCTCACAGGGCAAGTACACCAGCCCCTGGGTGTCTTGACAGACCTCTACTAAGCTCACTGAAGTTTATCAATATATTTCCTATGCTAGGAGCCTAAAATTAGATTCCAGATGCAGTCTAATGAGTGATGAGTGAAGGGGAATAATGAATTTCTGTGATCTACTAGCTACACACTTTTCACTAGGGCCCTGTTGATTCATACTTAGCATACTGTCAACCAGAGCCCCCAGGGGCCCTTTCCACAAAGGAACAACCCAGTCAGTCAGTCCTGAGCCTGTACCATTGCAAGGAATCAGTCCATCCTAGGTACATGACTTTGCATTTTTCTTTTCATGTGCAAACTCATGCTCTGTATGAAAGATCCTCAAGTTTAAATTAGACTTGGCAATAACTGAGGAAGTATATCTGCCCACTATGAGTCCTGCAGAAGCTGAAGTGTTTCATATCTTTGCCCAGAGAGGTTTGACACTAGCATTTAAAAAAATAATTGCATAAAAACCAAGAGAAAGAAATTGTAAAACCCCAAATCACTTCATAGCAACTTGTCCATCCTAGAAAATCAAGTTAAAACCAAACTAGAAAAAGAAAATCCTCCTGGTTTAGTAAAAATAAAATTAGAGGTAAAATTCAGGAACTGGCAGACGCTGGCTATAGATGGTAAAACCCAGCAGAACTGCAATTCTTCAAAGTACACAGCACAGGATATTTGCCAGTACAACATAGGAAACGATTGTTTGAGATTACAATGGAAAAAAACAAACAAACAAAAAAAAAGGCAGTATTCTGCAATATTTTGAACAGGAGCTGGAAGCTAAAGTAATGGTTAGAAAGCACTAGTGAAAAATAGAAGCAGGACTTGAGAAAACAGCAAACTGAAAAGGCTGCATTTGATGGATGACTGCAGATTGCAACTAAAAGTCTCAGTTCACTTTTACAGGAGATAAAATAATTTTTAATGATTAAAACAAGGGCATTCCCAAATTGCAATGATAGATTTCAGTGCAAAAAAAACCCAAAACCCAAATAAAATGCTACACTGCCTGTTCACTGACAACATATCACAAAAACAAAGTAAGACCACTATGTCCTGTGTTCTCACCCAGGTTATTCGAAGACCTCAAAGAGGAAAAAAAAGTGAAAAAGAAAGTGTTGCACAAAATCACACAGAAAAAAAATCAAGAGGGATGCTGATGACTTCAGATCATAGCAGCCCATTAGAAACTTTTAAAAACAGGCCTTGTTAACTCTATCTTAGATAAAAGAAGACAAAAGGAGTTTCAGGAATGTGACCATAGCAAGTATGATAGTGAAGATCTGCATGACTGTAGCAGTGACAACAGTCTTTTGTAAGGGAACTACTGCCCTAATGAAAGGCCAGTTAAAGTAAGTGGAAAAGCTTTCATTGGCTTCAATAGACATGTGGATTATGCCCCCAAAAAAGCAAATTTTTATGGACTAAAATTCCTAGTGGATTAAATAGTAAAAATTCCATTAGGTTCAGTGGAGTCAAGTTTTCTACTTGGAGAGTTGTATTAGTTATACCTTGATGCCCTTGTGTATTAATAAAACAGCATTCATAGTCTAACAGTACATGTGCCTGCATTTACAGAAGCACAATAATACATGGCATGATACCACAAGGTATTGAAACATCAGGTTTTTTACAAACATAAGTAAAAAGTTTATGGACATTGTTTCTATCTCATTTCATTAAAACTTTGAATGATCATGCTAGTTCACAATATCTCAACCAGTTGTTTGGTCTTACGATTCTACCTTAGTCATCTGTTTTCTATTTTATAATGCTCCATGGTTTCAGAAGTTTGAGAAACATCTCATTTGTTCATCTCCACTGTGTTTGTTGAACAAACTGATGGTAGAATCATGACAGATATCACTTACCATAAATCAAGTTTCTTTTGCAGAGATTATAATTAAAATGTTCTCCAGTCTAACAGACTGTACACCATCCAGCATCATGGCCCAGCTGTTGGCTCAGCTGACACACAGCAACTGGCAAAGCTGCAACAACTTGTGTTTGAATCCAAACCTTCAAAAATTGCAGGTCTGGCTGTACCCTGGCTCAGATACAGTCCCTAATCCTAACTCTCTGTAACAGACCTCTTCATTAGGATATGTGTCATAAAAGAGTTTTAACTAAATGTTTTATGTTTCATAGTTATGATTCTAGAACTAACAC